TATCTATACAGAGAGGGAGAATGAGGAGAGAGAGCCAGGGGAGAGAGTGAGGAGAAACAGCCAGGGGAGAAAGGAGATAAAGCAAGAAGAGAGCGATGAGAGACAGCCTGTACACAGCACATACAGGACTCAAAACCCAGTCTGTCCGAGTAAATACCGCTACCTACCGCTCGGAGTGATTAGGGTGTGCCCAGGAAGATCCTGCACACCCCGTGCACACGCCTATGGACTAATCCTTGGCCCCATTCATCTGCCAGCCAGGAGCTGCTGGCTGACAGCTGAAGGTAAACAAAGTGTGCTGGCTGACATCATCATGTCAGCCAGCATCCCCTGTCCCTTTATTTACCTCCAGCTGCCATCTGGGAAATCTCCCAACCGGAATCTGCCAGAAGTGATGAGAAATCACTCTAGTATAGGAGTCCAGGACATCGACGGCAACAAAATATTTTTTCCCCCCAATAAACTGGTCACAGGGTAGAACTTCTGTCAAGTTATTATTACTGTCTGTGACTTCCTGTCCTGATGATGACTGCTCCCATAAATTTGTCTTGTGCTATCACAAACAGTCAGGCAGCCATGAACTGAGGTGTAAACCACTATACATCAAAAAAGGTGGCAATGACAGCCATGCATCAAAGCAAGTCTTGTTCCACTGAGCCTAATTTGTAATTTCTATCTGGCAATGTTACAGGTATTCTGTAGCTGTCTTTACTACCATTCCTTGCTAGGTGTGTCCCTAATATGAACTCATCTAACTTGTTAGGGCAAATGTCAGCAGGAAAGTTGACTAATGGATAGAGAGCCAGCAATCATGATAAACTAGCCATTTTCTTTTAGGCAAGGCTGGGAATTGTAAGCACAATTTTATCTTTAAACATGAGATCTGTAGTGTCTTTTATCTTACAGTTATCAGCTTTTAGCTTAGTCAGAAAAGTGTTCATCTATGTAGTGTTTTATATGGTTAGTGCCCAAAACTGATAGTTTTCAAACAAACCTTATTCTTATTTTCTAGAGGGGAGTCAATTTTGATTTCTAATTAAACTTCATACACAGATACACTAAGCAGCAAAATTAGTATTTTCTAATCGCCTGGGTTGACTCTTGCTTGCAGTTACGTTTATGCTTTCACCTGCCGGTTTTGTACTTCTGCTGCCTGCCTGAACTCCTGATCCTGTTCCTTAATGGTGATTTGGTATCTCCTCTACCCACCTGTTGCCAACCTGGTTTGTACCTTAATTTAGCTCCTGCTATTGGCTCTTCACCTGCTTTAAATGTTTGATATCTATTTGCCTGATATTTATCTAATCCTCATTCTGCTTCTATAGTGTACCTGCTCAGCACCTCTTTACTCATTCATAGAAATTTTAGGTGCTTAGTTGAGTGCTGGACCTTCAATGGGATCAGCTCTTCCTGCTACCTGAGGCTCTAGGGAAAAATGTGATTGCAATAAGTGCTGCCTGTGAATTGTGATGGTACTTGAAGTACTTGTGCTAGCAACTCCAAAATGACTACCCTAGGTAACTTTGTTTGGGCAACAAACTTCTTGCTGATTTGCTCATTCCTATTAAGAACAACAGGATAGTAATATATTTTTTCTTTCTTAAATTGCTACTAGTCTGTGTTGGAAGATTGTTTTTGAATCTGAGAAACATTGCATTCTAATACAGTAACCTTGAATGTGTCTGTGGAATAGAATGCTATGATAAAAAGCTAGTACCGCAGCGCGGAATACTGAAAAATGGCCTGGATGGGAAGGGGGTTTAACACCGCGGATGTCAACTGGTTAAAGCAAAAAAATTGTGTTTTTTATATTTATTGATTCCTGATTTCCCCTCATAGAAAACTTAAAATCTTTACTCATATCTTCAAAATAACAACAAACACACCTTAAGAAATGCTTAGTAATGACAATCTACAAACAATTACTTCTAGATAATTGCAGGATTTTTATATTTTGCATACCTTGTTTTTCTTTTCTTCCCCAGTCTTCTGACAGTGGCCATTTTAACTAAGGGCAGGTTACTAGATCTCCCTTTACTTCCTGGATTTCTGGAACATGTGACTAGGACATGTGACCATGCACATCATCACAGGGGAGGAAAATGCCTTTCTCTTAGATCTCATGAGATTACAGATGAGATTCCCCAGCAATGTTCTGCTGATGTAACCTTCCCAGGATGCAAAGGTCCAATTTAAGACATCACTTAATTTCATTATGCACGGAAGCTAAATTAACCTTGACAACTGGTCATTCTCAGAGGTAATGGACGGTGTTTAACTTTCACAGAGCCCGAACACTCTGCATTTAAAAAGTGTGCTCCATTTAGTGGCTCTCTGAAGAAGGAAAATAAAGTTAGATGCTAGGGCTCAGAGTACATTCCTGTGAGATTGTGTTATGTGTTAACAACTACATCCGTTAGGTAATTCTTGCCTATGGTAGTTTTTTTTTCTTTTCACAGTTTGATAGTTTTCTTCTCCAGAATATATACATTGTTTTCTTATATTTTTTTACTTTGTGTTTCCTGAAGCTCAACAATTTTATCTGAGATATGATCACTATTTTTTTGTAACGCCTTTTTTTTTTAGTTACCACAATTTTTATTTATATTACAGCACATCCTTTGTTAAATCATTTGTAAGTATACACAAGATTAAAAGATAGTTGTAATAGTCATGTTGAAACATGCAGAATATCTTTTTAATATCTAAACAAGGCCAACAGAAGTAAAATATCTCTAAAATCTATTTGTCTTTAAATCGTCAGTAATTTTATATGTTTAATTGATTTTTGTATTTGTTAAAGATATTTAATTTAATAAAAAACATCCAATCCATCTTTCAATTTAGCATTATAGTTAACCAAGTACATAAAACGTCTGTATTAACGGCTATAAGGTACTTTTGGTAATCAGAAATTTAAATAGTTAGCTAGTCTGAGAAAAGCATTAATAAAAAACATTGCAAGGTAATTAAAGATAAATAAATACATTGCTGACCCGTATCAGCAATCAGGTGACAGAAATAAATTGTTTTTAGAAAAACATTCAACTTTTTTTAATTATTTTACTGTCTATTATGAAGGGCCAGTCAAAGACTAAAAAACAGCCTACTGTACCCATGGACCCATGTCTGCCAGCTTTCTGCTATGTAGTGATTCAGTCAGTTGTAAAGCCACCAGATCACTTCTAAATGCTGGCAATTTACCACTCCCCCTAGTCGCAATTACCCTTACCTTGTCCAGGGACTTAACTGACTCTGGCATTCAGAAGGGAGAGCAGTAGGGGGTAAGTAAACTGTAATGTTCCCTCTCTTCAGTGAATCTGGTAGTGCTCAGCTTTAAGCAAATTTAAATATACAGTTTTGGTCAGGGTCAAATAGAGGCCCACCTGAGGAAATACGATTGGGGACCCACCTTACGATGAGTAGTGGGTGTGTATATACTGATAGTGGGGAGATGAAATATTGCTGTTTTTAGGGTTATGTTCTGATATGACAGGCCTACTCGATACACAGTGCTGCCATCGTACATTATTTCATCATAGTATCACACATTCAATTACGCCACGACAGCACATTATATGACAGCACCATAACACATTATAAAAGGACATCATAGCAAATTATATGAAGCTATGACAACAGTTGTATTGCCCAGCAAGAGCATAATCATGCCACAACTGTAATTCTATAAACAAGTAAGAGTTTAACAGACTTCAACAACACATTTTACAGTGCTATAAGTGGTGTTAAAATGAAGTCACAACCACACATTACACATACCTTTAAACTTTAAAGGGTAATTTCACTTTCCCAGGTGAATTTGCAAAAGTGGAATTACCCCCTCCAATGGGACACCTCCCCCCCCACCTTACTATACTTACCTTTGAGCAAACGCTCCTTCCCCCCACTTGTGCCGGTGTACTATTCGTACCCTGTACTGTCGTACTCTGTGCAGCCCTGAGCTCTGTATTTTAAATTTCGCTCACAAATGGCGAGCACTCATTGGTCAGCGTGGTCACATGACTGTGCTGACCAATAAGAAGTATTTCTGACTTCGCCGACCAATGAGAAGTGCTTCTTGCTACCAATAAGTGGATATGACATCTGCATGGCCTATACAGATGTTGTTCATATTACAAAAGAGCAGCAGGTGCTCTTCATTGTCATTCCTTTGTCTGGTTGTTCCATGGGCACCCATGCCCCTTATTTGCACAAACACTCATTGATGGTCCCCAGATGCAGTTGCAGCCACTGTAGTGTAGGTAATGTCAAGTTCCTGTACATGGGGATATCGCATATCATGCAGTTGCAAGGCAGGGGCTGTGTTGCTGTTGAATTTCAGCCAGACGAATGCTGGAGGAGTATGACCACCTGAAGTCACCGCACACTCTTCTGGCCTGCTGCAGGACATTATGGAAGCCATGGTAATTAATTATAAATTCCTCACCACCAGGCTGAGGATTTGTGCCAGGCAAGGCACATGTGTGAAGTTTCCATGCCGATGCTCACATGGCAGGTATCATTTTTACACATGACTTTGCCTCTCAGCCTATATTTGAAAAACCGAGAAAATATATGCTCTTGACCCTCAAACACACCAGCTGCTATACAGCATGGCAGCATTTTGCCTGAGTTATTGCTTAGGCTG